TGAAAGGCAACCACGGGTCGTGGATACAAACGAATTGTTCGCGTATGCTCAGACAGATTGGCTAACACGTTCGATGAATTGAAGAATTGCACCTGTAGAAAAGTTACGGAAGTGAAAACGAATCATCTGTTGGAAATTGTGGATCAATTTACAATTTCAAAAAGTACTTCCGTCAACACCAACAGGCATACGTTCGAATCACACCGCGCCACCCCAGCTCAGTTCTACTGGCAGCTTTTTGATTGGTTACTTTTCCCTTGCTGATCATTAATTGCTTAGATGTTTATTAAATAAAGGTTGCTAAATTATCAATGTGAAATGCTGGGAGTGAAAAGATAAAAGACTGCTTAACAGCGTTGCTGGATGTCACCGGAATGGCTCAAACACCACCCAGGTCTCATTGTCATTTGAGTTTCAATAGAATGGCGACAAAAATATGACCATATCTAATCATTCAAAATGTGGCAAATCGATTCCAATTTTACTTGGATTGAAGTTAATGGCTCGTTTATTGTTAACCACGATACCATCAGTGTAAAATTCAAAGGTTGCAAATCGAAATTTATCGTGAAGAAAACAAATAAAACATGAAGGTCAAAGTGGGAAGTGGGAAGTAAAACTGTGATCACCGCGGTTCGATCTGTGGAGGACGACGTTTTCCGTGCTAATCAATCAGCAAATATTCTGTTACTCCCAGTGAGTTCGAGAAAAATGAATGCCGGGGCAATATTTTCCAGTGGATCGAATAAAACTAGAAAACCCAAAGTGCTTGGGAATTTTGTCTGTTGTGGATGACTGAATGAAACGAATATTACAACCCGGATATTATGCAAATATAGTTATTTTAGGTTAAGGTTGTTTATTTTGTTCATTTCAATTAGTGAAGGAAAATTTTCCTTGTGCCTTTGGGCGGCCGTTTCGAAACTGAAACCAGCGTAGTTCTTTAGCAAGATTTTACTCTTTGCAGGGGTGGAACGCATACAAAATATGGCTACGCTAACACTCAACTCACCGGAAAAAAAACTTGTAAGTTACAGGAATTTTCACCCAACAGAACAACTTCGTCTATGTACTCCATATTGTTTAATAAGCCGTCACTTAAGAATTTCACACTGATAGATTTTTGAACAGAATATCTATGGTGATGAAATTATTATTTCGTTCCGTTGATCAATGAAGAGAATGGTCCTATGTTTGTATTACGAAAGATCAGTACATGCGGTGAGATTTAATCCCCTGCATGGACACCTGCTTCAGTTGAGTCCAGTTCAGTTTTTACAACCAATAACCATGAACTTTCGTGCGCCTGTTTTGGTTGCTGTCCTTTGGTGCCCCATTTGGATAAAATAGCGGAGTGAAGATTAGAATGTTGGAAGTAAATTCCAGCGGAAGATGGAGAATTCATAACGAATGGTGTTAGGAGAATAATGAGTAGATGCACGAGCGCCACTGTTTGCCACACCCAGCCATATCACTCAGTAACTCTAACCATCGGTGGTCGTCATCTCCAGGTCCCCAGCCAGGAAGTCTAACGGGGCCTATGTGACCTAGTCTCCTGGTTAGGATTTTCATACCCTCATACCAGGTCTTAGCTTGACCACCCTTCACCTTTTTCCAACCGCTACTTGCCTCGGCAAAAATCGCTCGCAGTGGCAACCTATTTGGTGACAAGCGTAACACATGGCCCAGCCAACGTAACCCATGGCTGCTGCAGTTTTAAATGTCACACGCTAGTACCAGCTGAGCTACGAAGCCACATGCAAGTCGTGCATGGGTTTGAATCTAAGCGAGTTCATTGTTCTCAGTCCAAAACTATTATTGTCAATACTAGTTTGGGGCAAACACTGGAACTTGCCATTTCGCTATTCCAATCACACCTGATTACAACCATTTTCTCATACCTCTAAACTTAGCCGTTGCCCAAAAACTAAATGATTTTACGCTTGCAGTTTGCTGAGTAAATATTTGATGTATGCATCACTTGTATGACGCATTGGTTGGTATCTACTTGACTTGCCACAGAAATAGTTTGCGCAGAGGCTCAGTGAATCATATGACGTTGAAGTTTCAATAGTTTTGCTCTTAAGCGCTGTCAACAACGGAACACTAGTTGGTACACCCTTAATAGCTGAAAACTGTTCTCCAGACCGGTATTCATCAAAATCGAAATCAGCATTACTCCATTGGTGGTTGAGGATTAGATCACGAAGGTTACTAAACTCTTTGATTTGATATGTATCAAATTGTTTGTTTGAATTACATTACTTGTAACTTTGTCAATATTTGTCACTTTCTTGTGCAAAGTGCGTTCAGATGGATGATAATCACCGTTTATGCACTGCAGAAAGCAATCGAACCGCTTTCGGCATCCCTTTATGAACCTACCATCGCCACTCGTGTGGCAACATCCACCACATCTACGTCATCGCTGGCTGGATTGGTACTTGTATTATTCGTAGATTCCGTTGTTTCCTGTTTCACTGGTACAGAGCCTGATGTTTGTGTCCTGTGCATGCCAGACAGGGCCTGGAAATAAGAGTGTTAGGAAACTTGTAACCTTAGCAAGATTTAAGTGACACAATACACTAATAAAAAGGAATAATTGTAACGTGGTGGTGGTGGTGGTGCAATTTAAGCACACCTCCTCCAAGGCGATAATTTGGTGAACTTGACCATTCGGCCACCAGTTCCGTGTTGATTGCCGAAGTAATTGTCATACGAAAATAATCGGCGGAATTTTGAACACTAAGCAATGACACTATATTCACCTTTAACCAGGGAAATTTGTCTAGACGATCAGGTTTCTTCCGGTTTTAAAATCAATGCGGAGAACAAAGGAATAGAATTCACCGCTATGCGAGTATTCCTGACTCGTTCGATGTAACTCTGCATGGAATCGTCAAATGAGCGTCCCCTTAAACTGAGTGTACTGACCGAGGAAATGAATGATGAGCAAACCTCAATCCGTTGTTGCTCACTGTTGCCTCTGCTCGAATACCTCCTATTCTGAACTGCCTCAGTGATAAACAGCATTATGAAACTGATGAAAGACAATAATGGGTGCAGCTTTTTATGCTCACATGTCAGAAGCATAGAAGAGTTATTTTATCGAGTGGTGAGCACCGGAGTTTATAAACGGAAACGAAAACACCGTATGGATTATGAACGACTTGATCAACCATGAAGTTCATGCAATCCGCGCAAAAGTGAAACATAGACTAGTTTTTATTTTTCTAAGTTTTTCTACTGTATTCATACGTAAAATTGGAGCTCAAAACATCCCAATTTCTCCTACAGCTCTCAATAAATTCGCCGAAGTGAACCGGACAGGATTTAATCTCTAGTACGTTGATACTCAAACAAATGAGCTTAACAAAGATATGATGAATTAGATAGGTTTTTTGGAATAGCTTGTATTCAAGCAATTACGATAGATGATGAATCACAAATAGATTTACGGTGTTGTATAATAAGAAAACTTCTCTTTAAACTCTCACGGTGGTATTTTACAATCAATAAATATGTTAATAGTACATCATTACATTGTACCCTACCACTGCCCATCTACTTTGCTGATGGGATCGTTCAATTATTGTTCAATCACGGTCTCATATGATTGAAAATTATGTCTGAAAGCTTTAGATGCTAGGTTTATCTGACAAACAGTGTATTGTGTATAACAAAGTTAGCTTCTCCTCCGTGTCATGCTGGATTGTGTAACCCCAATGTGCTAAAACTCTGGGCAACTTATCAATATACCTAGCCATAAATAAGCTTTAGCACGTCCCTCTGCTCTGCATTCCTTTGATCCTACACACTCTCTGGAACAAAACAATCGCGAACATAATAACACGTTCAGTCAGTCAGCTTAAGCACAGCTGTCTTAGTCTCTTTCATTCCAGTCATTGATTTATTTGACTCTGATTTTCTTTAACGGATGATAATTACACAGTCTTGGGAGAGATTACACATAGCTCTTATAAAAAATATTTGACGGGTTTCCTTCATCGATTTATCTATCTCATTGGATCAGTAATCAGTCAGTGTTTGAAACAAAAAATACATTTGAGCAACAATACTGTTTCCCTTCTTGAATTGAAAACCATGGTTTGTTACCTGGAACCGATAAAATCAAGCTTACTTTTTCCAAACGCTCCACCAGCTCTTTCCCTTCTACTGTTGGCAACGGAGGGATCGGACCGATATTCTTGCTGCCCAGCATCTAGGAAAACGAACAGAATGCAGAGTTATCTATCGGTGGTTATGAATTTACCAGTTATGAAAATCAGTCCTTATTTCAAAGAAGCACCCAAGGATTTAAAACGCACTGCATGTTGAATTTCGTCATGTACGATACACTCACATAAAATATGTCCTTAGATGGTTGTTTCACGAAGTTTTTCGTAAAACAACGGAAATCTGGCCTGGACAGCAGGGAAAAGATATAGGCTGTTCCATCTGTTCGTTTTCATCTGTATTTTGAATTCATCGAATCAACTAACGATGGAGCCGTAGACGTCATCCGTGCTGCCCGCATACATAGCGATCTCAAACTGCATACTACCACCGGAAAAAAAACTATTTTCAGCACAGGGAAACGGATAATTAAGGGCCTGACGTACGATACGCCGAAAAATGGGAACAATTTGACCCTTGTGATGACAATAATCGCAGCTAGAAGCAACCGTCTGTTTAGCCAAAGGCGTCGGTAACTGCTACAGGTTTAAGGAAATATATAGACGGTGTACGCGAGTAATGGGACATCCAAATGGTTAGGACGTTGTTCATCGCAATACAAACTCATCAAAAATATTTGAAGGAGATTAGCAGTGAGCGAGATATGAATTTATTCTGGCCAGAGAACAAAATAGCTTCGTAAATCAAACGATATTTGGTGCAACGCTGGCAATTTTTCATTATTACCGCCTGTATGATCAAAGAGCTGTAATAAGCTGAATGCGTAAGCAATAAATCATGATTGACTTCTGAGTACTTATGACTTCCACAAAGAATCCTGACAGAAAAGAAAAACTGGAAACACTGAACTATTTGTCATCATCAGATCCAAAAGATTCACAGTATTTATATAATATATTTTACGCAGTTTTCAAAATATGTATGTAGGTATGTTTAAAAAGCTACCTACCACAGATGATTTTAGAAGATCTTCTGTGTGCACAGACATGTTGAGCGTATCTCGCAGTTAACTTGGAGGACATCATGTTGAATTTTATTGTGTAGTGCCCCCCCCTCTGAATGGGTGCAACAGAAGTGTGTGATGAAAACATGGGGGTCATTCGGGACGTGGACGCGAAGCAGAGGAGGATACCTTTTCAACTTCAAGTGAATCCGCCGTAACTTCAAGTGAATCCAACCGATCGCACTCTACTGGAAACCCCACAAGATTACTGGTGTTTCGGCCGTTAAATGTCACTCATCGGACCGGTTCAGTCCGAATGAACTCACTTCCCCGTAAACAAACAAGTACATTTTTAGTGAGTTACCGAGCAAGGTTGAATGTTTCGGGAGGAGGGTGGGTGGGTCCAGGTGGGCCGTTCTCCCCCCGCCCCTTCCCCACACACACCCGTTCCACCCCGGAACGTTATGTTCGTGATCGTTGATCGAGTGTGTGTCATAGATACGAATGAACTAACCCGGAGTTAATTGACCTCTGTCGGCCCGGTAAGGAAGCGAATCACGTCAAGATGGATCGATAAGTCGGTCACCGTGCCCAGACGTGAATGTGAGCATGATTCTTTGTGTGAGTGGATTCAGTCTAAGTCTTCCTCTTGAACTGGCTACTGGTATCCGACGCCTTTGACTTGTTGGTGCATGCCCATAATTTCTTGAACAATGTATTTTGATGTTGGTTTCATCAATTCAGATAATCTCATGTCCAAATGTCCCGTACCATTGCAAGTTTTAAACATATCTAGGAAGAAATGACTCAAAAACAGGTCGTTGCATTACCTTTTCCTCTTATCTTTAGTATCCAGTAAATTCATCGTTACTGGGAATTGATGAATCTTTTTGATTGTAAACAGTTTTCCTTCTTAATAGTTACTAATAGTTGTGATGGAAATTTCTTTATCGTATTCAGCCTTGAGTTTCGTCCACAGAAACAGCAGTGTTACAGTCGGATTCTCTTCAATCCATGAAATGAGTTCCTCTACATAGTGATTTGATAACTTGTTGAACCGTCTTCCTCCGTGGGTGAATTCTGACGGTTCTTCTTGATGTCTTCTTATACATGTCATCACTGTCCTTTTCTTCACACCAAGTGATGCAGCGACCATCAACCGGTGATCACCATTATCGTGCGCTCGTAGTATACTACACTTACGATCCATTGCAGGATGCCACAGCAAGTAAATAAGATGTAAATGTCAAGCGATAATTCAGAGGATATTTATAACAAGTAGGCAAACTAATCCACCAATGATTATCGGATTTTCAGACAAGAATCCGAACCTGTCAATCTCCCTCTAACTTATGGCAACTACAACACAGTTGTACAATCTTTCGTGGTAACACATACGGGAAATATACTTCAAGGGCATCCGCGGTGCCACTGAACCTCTTCCCTTATTCAACATTCAGTATTAGGACAACCGTGGGTAGAATATTTTACCGACCTCAACTTAATAACTTAATAACTTAACACCCGGTACAGAGTTATCATCGCTTGTGGGATCATGGATAACTATAACT